GTTACCTGAGCTTCTCTTCCAGTGGCATCCATGTCAGCTAACACAGCTGCCCTTGCTCCGGGATCACGGCATAATTGTCTCACATCTTCATACTGCAACACGCGCACGTGAGAACAACAATAATCTCTCTCTCTCTCTCTCTCTCGGCTTTCATTTCCTGTAAAAAACAAAAATGACCACCTTGATTCCTGCAGAAGCAGCCCAAGCCTTAAGAACATCAAGCTCCACTGCCACTACTGCCACCAAACTGGAGTTAAGGCTATCACCTGTCAACAAGGAACCATCAGAAACCTTCAAGACGAAAACCTATCACCAACCATCCAAAATAGAGAAGCTTATCAACATAGATTCGACGTTCATACCATAAACAAAACACTGGCCAACAAACTTGCACTTAGCATAGACATTCTCAATCTTTTCGGGAGCAATGTACTCTCCTTGTGCCAATTTAAAAATATTCTTCTTCCTGTTAGAAATGCAGTATGATGCCCACATCAAACCATAAGTGATATTTGTCAAAATAGACCCAAGGAATTAACTACTTAAAATTTTTCTCATGTTTTAATTTAATTTCAAAATACACTTTAAAATATACATAATTTTGAGTTGGAGTAGTAGAAAAAGTGAAAAATGTTAAATAGTTGAAAATTGAGGTGTATTTTGATAAATTTCCAAATCTGTAATAACTAAAAGCAAATGTAGACCAAAGTCCAATGCCTGCCATAACCATCTGGTGGACAGATAGTTGTTTATGGAGAGAGAGGGCAAGATCCCCAAGAAGGCCAGAACATCGCACGCCCCAATGGTTTGATCCATAATCCATCAAATCCTCATTATTTCTTCAGATGGTTATATCCACAATGGACAATGGTTTTCCATGACCCTATGAACTCATACTATACTTTCCATAACTGAAGTAATTAATATTTAACAAAAGAGAATGCCGTATGCAACATGGACCCTAGGAAGGTTTTCCTCCAATTATGCTCATAGTTATTGGCAAAACATACCTATCTATAATCTTTAGACGCCCACCATCTATCCATGACCCTATATCTCCAGTGTGCAGCCAACCTTCCTTGTCGATGACCTCCTTCCTGATGATTTCATTAAGAGTCAGCATAATTGTGAAGTAGTCTTAAAACCTTAAAATATCTAACTTAGCAGAAAAAATAAAAATAAAACCTTAAAATCTTATACAGAGTTGTACATGCATATGCAGGCCCCATCAAAATTCTCTTATTGTCCTACCCAAAGCAAAACCATAAAATATTGCCAAGAATCCAAACAAATGGTAAGGATGATTACGTTTGCGCTTCATCTTTGTAGTAACCTCGGAAGACAATGGGACCCCTGACACAGACTTCCCCCCGAGGATAAGGTTTATCATCAGATGTATAGTTCATTTCAGGAACATCCACAAGTTTCACTTCTGGAAAATGAGATGCAATATGAATTAGACAGGAGAAAAAACCCCAAATCTCATATCAGCACCCTTCCATATAATGCGACTAGCATACAACCCAAATAAAGGTACTTAACCGATACATGAAGAAAAACTAACTTTTCATAATTTGTAAGTATCAGAAAGTAACACTATATGCTCTGATTTACAGGTGATGATTTCAACCCTTCCACAAGCTCCAAACCATCTTATCACTTAGAATATCTAGATGCCCATAATGCGACATTAAACTTGTCAGATTTGACAAGAAATTGATCTGGCAATCAGTAAGATATTTTAATTGAATGCCAATCTCCAGATCAATAGCTATTGTGTGTGTGTGTGCATGTGTGTGTGTGTGTGTGTGTGTGTGTGTGTGTGTGTGTGAGAGAGAGAGAGAGAGAGAGAGAGAGAGAAGAGAGAAGTGCGAGGC